AGATCAGGACCATGATCAAGTCTCCGGCCGTTACACCGGCTACTCTTCAAGATTTCACCGGCGATTGTGCCAGGTTGTTCATCGATACAGTATCCTGCTTGCCTCTTTCCGTGTAGGTTTGCTCAATATTGGCGGGATTTTGTTGTTCTCCTGAGTTTGTGGTCAGTTCAGCGGAATGTTCTGATTCTGCAGGGGGTGTTAGCGTCTACCTTGACAAACGTTGTATCCGTATTCGTCATGTAAAAAAGATGCTATAGAGTTATGTAGAGAGTGGCGCACATTAGCTCATCAACCAACTCGTGCGAGTGGGCAAGAAGAAATACAAGTAAGCAGTGATAACGAAAATATGTAGGGACTGAATTCTCGGGCGTTCGGCCGTTAACCCCACTCACTGCAGCTATAAAGTCGAAAACAAAGATAGTTACATTAACTGATGGCTGTTACACGGCCCATTTGGTTTGGTGCAACCCACCAGTTTCCCTATTCTCGATTTCGGGGGCAAACTCCAAGTTCACAAACTTGCATACAAGCTGGCAAAATCCCGACTGCAACATTTTTATGAAACTCTCCGCCCACTTCCGCGACCGGCTGCATTTTCATCCGTACCCTCTTTAACCGTACCTTGGATGAGCACAATCGTTCCCTCTGTCCAAGTTTATGTCTAGGATTCGATTATTATCTCCTCTTGTTATTTATACACTTCTGCCGTTCGAAAGTAGAAGTAGTATGTTATTTTATGAATAACATGTGTACCGGCTTCTGGTGACCCTTTTTTCCTAACCGTCATAGTAGCAGTCGATATCGACAACATATTGCGTCGGTATCGACATTTTGAAATAGGTATATTGCCTGGATATTCGCTTTCGCCTCTTTTTCGATGTACTCCTGAGATCGACACGTCGAGATTTAGCGATGTAGGCTGAAAAAGGTCGTTTCAATATGTATGACGGACAAATATTTAAAGTACACCCCTTCCTTTAATATAGTGTCTATGCTTTACCTCCACTGCCGTCTCTTGTTGGCATGTAACTTGTTTTATCGTATATTTGCCGACGCCGAGTACTTTGAAACCAAAACCAAACCCGACTACACTGTGCGGACAGGCGAGCGGTATTTTGCGAGTTGTTTACTAATAATATGCAGTAAATTAGATAAATAGTATACAAGAATAGCATCTGCGACAGGAGAAGTCCGTATTCACAAGGTACAGGCACGTATTGGTTTGAAATAGACGGTTCGGCTACTCGTTCTGAAAGCTAGATATATATAGCAAATATGTAGTACCCGCGTTAATCGTCCCCTCTTCAGGGAGTCATTTCGCAAGATCTTCAGACTCCTACGTTGCAGAGGCTATGAGAAAGGGTTTTCCGATCGCTTGGTTTTGTTGATGGATAGACAGTAATTTGCTCAATCTTCTAGGCAAGCAGTCCTCAGATAGCGATGTGGGTGAATGTAGTGTATTGGAAAATGTAGATAAAACGGCAATAAACACAGGATTACAGCGTAGATAACATCCTTGGCGAGAGTCAATCACGGAGGAGTCTCTCGAACTATAAATTCCGGATCAACGTTTGAGCGAACCACAGTGGCTGTAGAGCTGGAAGCCGCTACGGGGAATGGGACACAGTTTTCACTTAAACACGGTTGACGGTTAACCTTAAACTCTGAAATCACAAAAATACTGCCGCTGTTCTCTCTCTTTCGGAAGTCACTTTAGTCAAACAAAAGAGGAGTCGGTTCGCCTCTGTCCATCACATATGTATGCACTTGGCTTACCATTCACTTTTCGAACTGTTTGACTTCTTCGTAGCCTTCTACCCACCGCGTCCAGCGACAGCTCTAGGCGTTGTGATTCTTTTGTGTGACCAACAATAAGGTTGCTCTTTTTCCCGCATTTTTCACGTTTGATATTACCTGAATTTAATAATTTGACCGTTTTGTAAGAGTTTGGCTTGCCACTTCATTAACTCTTTTCGTAGGCTTCTCCGTTAGCGACTTCCTCTTAGTACTCACGCTTTTTTTATGGATGTTGCAATTTAACAGGCTGAGTAGCAGGTTTATACCTTTAATGTACACAGACATTTACCCTTACATAACCATACCTACCGACGACTGCGCCGTTAGGCTCGTGAATTCGGCTTGCGTCCAGATGCCGTTGTTACGTTGGCATGGTGTGCATTAAAGAGACGGAAATGGAAGAATTTCTACCAGCTGTTTCACGGACTTCCGACCGGGCGGGTCCACAGTGCGTACAATCAGGTGTCATAGTAATTAAGTTAAACAACCCATCTACGGTCAAACAAACTGGTTCACAGCTGCTGCCTGATTTGTGTACAAGAAGTCGACGCACGCTCGACAAACTGCACTGTTATGTTAAGGGTGCTTTGACACGAGATCGAACACAATTGTGAAAGCTAGAGAACAACCGTCTTTGCGCTCCATCAATGCGGGCTTCTCGCTCTCCGCACCAAGATGTGTCACAACAACTTGACCTCTTGCCTTATAACAGCGCGTAACCTTTGATGCTTCGCTGGCTTCCCTTTTGTCATCTCCCGCCTCAACGGGTATAGTGGCGACTCTTCTTAGAAGCCAGATGAACTGCTAGTTATGATTTCGTCGGCGAAGGTGTCAGATTTACGAAGCAGTTTACGTCAAGGGCCTTGTCTACAATTATTGGGTTTTTCTATATAAGACCTTAAGGTCTCAGTGAATGGAGGCAATTCCTCACCCATAACCACGTCTACTGAGAAGGCTCGTTACACACTATTTTAGAATTCTCAAGACTCACATACCTTTCACACAATTCTCTAGTAATCAAACCTCTGCAGCCCATCAGGGCAGACTGAGGGTAAGCTGCTATTGCGGTTACTCAATTTGCTATATGAACACACAGCAGATCCTAATCTGCAGATCCAGCAAATGCACGCGTCCACCCATCTGCTTACCCTGACTCGCCTGCTAACATTAAAATGTTCGAGGAAAAATGTGACGTTGACATCGCTGCAACATGCTTAGGACGATCATTATACTTCCCGCGACGCCAGCATTCCTTAGCCTCTAACCTTCTGTTACCTGTTTCTTTCGGTCGCAGAAACCACACCAGACTTATTACACAGTCCGGGAGACGCATGTAGCTTCCGTACCACCTGACCGCATGACTCATCATGTTTTCGGCGTAGGTTATAACCCACGCCGGATCTCCGGGACTCATAGACCGTCATATAGGTGACGATCTTTTCGGACGTAGAACCTGAGTGTCGGAAAATTACTCTCAGTGCACGTCATCAGGGGCTCGTATGTGCAAAGACCATGCGATTCAGGGCCTTCTTGATAAAATAAATTATTAAGTCTGCAGTCTTTTAGTTGAACTTAGTAGCCTTGGACCCGAAGGCTTACAGGATATGAAATGTGCAGAATAACGCGAAGATCTCGGTCTCTGTAAAATGCGTTTCCAAACGTCTGACTCCCTCACATTCTTCTCAGCAAATTCACCCGTAATTCCTAGGTAGCAAGACACATTGATTCCTTAACTTTCCGTGCGATCAATGTAATGTGTTCGGCCGTCTCATCCATCACGGGGCACATTGCTGCTTGTCAGTCCCCACTGTGATGCAAAACAAGCCCTTGTAAGTTAGTACAGTAGGTATCATAAATCAGCACCACCTTTGCACACGGAGCGAATGTACTTTTTAGCCGGCGTCGGGAAGCATGTCACCTTCAGCATCCCATCCTCATATAGGAAATCAGGGCAACAGCCATCCTTCACCCGAAAGGGGACGTATGCTCTCTCCAAAGCCGAAGAATCCGAGCTCAAAATGCGCCCGCACATATTGACAAGATCTTCATCTTTTGTCTAATTCCGTATGAATTTAAAAATTCTTGTTCATAAAGTAAGCCTACTTTTCAATTCCACCTTCAAGCGACAAAAAAGGCCTGACCTGAGCTGCCATGTTTGGTAGACTTCTTCTCTCACTACACTTAAAGCAGTAGGCACCAAAATCGGATTTCAAATATGCTTATGCTGCATGTAAATGGCCCTCACGCCCATGTTACCCCCAAACTTCGCTGCAGTGAATCTGGCCTTTCAACCGAACTTTATTGACGCGACACGTTTTATTTGACTGGAAGACAATTTTCCTCGTCTTCCTATTTGAATTTGCTCCTCCATATTTGCCATAGTGGTAATGAAGTGGAGATACTGATATCACTCCACTGTACACGGGGTGGCAGTCCGATGTTGTAAGACGCCCTGAAACCTATTTTGGAGGCCTGATATGTCTGGATATACCTACTAATCCCTTAATATCCTCTCACCGTTGCCAACATATATTTGTGGCCATCAAATATCCTTCTCAGATTACCCTTTTAAACTGAATTTGCAAAATGAGCTTCTGCTGTTGTGCTGCATCGCACATGTTGGGGCTGGTTCTCCAGCTATCTTCCTGGGGTCGACGGAATTAACTTGCTAAAGTTTTGTAGGCCTTCATCATTGAGAATTTCGGCTGAGTTGACTTTTTAGTAGGCATAGGATCATGATTGTGCCCCATTTCAGAGGACGTCGCTGTGATGTTACTCCTCCCTATTTACCACTTTAGAAAACAAATTGTACCCAAAACGGCTATTAACGTAGATCTATCGCGCCAATTAATGACCACCTTTGTTTGAGTCATGGCGTAGGTTTATTTCCGACTGACACAGGCCATGTTAAGGTTCCACGGGATACTTTTGAGAAATCTTCGCCTTTTAATGGTTACCAATTACCTAAAATGTCGTGTCTTAATCCTGCCTTGCCTGACTAAACGTTTCCATTTTGTCTTCCAGAGCACTAAGCAGCTGTTAATTTTGCCCATACATCACCTCGCTGAACAGGCGGACGCCAGCACAATAGACGTGGTGCCCAAAAACTGTTCTACACAACTTTGTACGCCGGCAGTCGGAAGAATATAAACCACTCGTTTTTACGCCGCCCGCATTTAACCTGAACTCCTGCCTCTGTAGCTATGGATTTGCCCAGTCCGCGCTTGGTGAGTGTAATGCGATCTTGTTCACTAGTCTCCCACCCTAATTTTGAACGCAACCTATAGTCTTTTAAAACCGCTTTGTTTTGTTTGTCGTTACATATGTTTCCCCACACAGCTCTCCAACTATTAAGTACTTCAAAAATAGAACACTTTCTTTATGGATGTTCTTTTACTATCGCAAGAACCCAAAAGTTAGACTGTGTAAAACTGCGATTTTTATCAGAATGTGGGCAAAACCATGTTGGGTTTTCTGAAACCTGTGGGAGAAGATGATAGTGTGGTCGAGGACTAAAGCGTTCTCGAGTAAAGTGGCGTCGACATAATTAGGGTTCGAGATGTAAAGATCTCCCTCTAACTTGCGCGGTCTCATTGTCGTGAAATAGTGTGGACGGAAGCGAGTCTATCGGACGATCAGAAAGGGTGGCTGAAAATCGATGCCAACGGCAAAGTATCATCCCTCTCCATTGTAGCCAGCTTTTGTTTGTGCGAGTTGGTTGATTGCCGTCGTCCCCCATGTCTTTTAAAAGTTGTTCAGCTGACCGTGTCGAACGCCCGCCTTTAATTTAAAACAGAGCCATTGTCGAAGGACCAATTCCAAGGTAAACTTCTAGTCCACAGTCTCCACCGGGACCGGAATCGCCATGTTTTTTTTCTTGGCCACTCGTTCCTGTCGGAGGGAAAGTAGCTTTGGGGGATACGTACGGATATTTCCGCGATGGCTTCGTCTAGACTAATGCCGAAATTGGAGTTACGCTACTTCATCCTGTCTCCTTTCTTGAATAAAGGTAGGAGAACGAAGCGTTGCTCGATGCACGCTACTTGCCAAACGGGGCTTAGTGTGGCGAGCATCACCATCACGCAACATGCGCACACTGTAATGCGGTTTGAGCGTCTTGTACTGAACAACAACTTGACTCCAACAACCTGTTACGCTAATTGTTTTCTTCCAGGCGGACCATTGAAACTGCCAATGAATTATTAGGTCATGATCACGCCATACATGATTTTGCTGTTAGGCCGAACGTCTTAATAGAAGCAATGAGTGTGACTGTTCGTTCATCAGTAAGTAATGATATGCAGAGTCCTGGAGCCCGGACACAATCCGACAAAACCTCGTAGGTGATTATTAGAGAAAGCAATGGCCATTGTAAAATATCCGTTGTTTTTTTTTCATTAAACGCTCAGTTGCTTACTCATATACTTCATGCAACTCATCAAGACTTGCCAGACGCTTATGTTTATTTAAACAAATGAGAAACTCTGCATACTCTAGTCTTATGACATTTCCAAACGTTCGAACGTCCTCTTTTCTCTAACTTCTGGGTAGTACCCCGAAAGAATAGATCATTACTGACACCTATGGTCTCCTGGCTAAACTAGGCTGTCCGAGTGATGCCGGCTGAGTAAACGTGAGTTCTGGAAATGTCTTGACTTATAGACTTAAAAAACATGACATAGGAAGTATCATTGAACTTTTATCTATTTTGGACGCGGATGCCCTCAAGTCGTTTTGTAAGTTCCTACTTCACCCATCGCTCTGCTGCCACAGCCAGACAGCTGTACCTCAAATATTTTTCAAGGTTTATTAGACCTCAGTAAGAGAGAAGATGGTATTATACGAACGTAAACTCTCGTACCGTGAGCTTCAGTTATTAGAAAGCAGTCCTTCGTGATGCCGAAGAGGGGCATGGGCATTAGGATGAGTGGTCATTTCGCTTGAGTGACATACATCCCACCTGGCTTCACGAGAGAGGTTAGCGTCTGCTCTTCCGTTTCCCATGTTTGTATCCCCCACCACCTTCCTTTAGCACTCTAACAAAAACCCAGACACCATCAAACAAAATATGCCGGCTTTTCAGCTTTTTTAAGTAAGGTTTTCTAACAGCTCATCTGGTAGATGGTAGCGAATAAAAGAGCGTGTCGAATCCTACGCATCTGCCTCATAAACATAGTCTGAAAATATTTCTGTTTTAAGCCATTATTTGTTTTTGGAGTATGGGGAAACGAATTCACGTATGAAACCTGAAATCAGTGGTCTGCACAATCGCCAGAAAGACCCGCAAAAAACTTCTTATGGAAACGAGCATTTGCGCTAGATGCTTAGGTAAAGTGCAAACCTCGACTCGGACATTTTCCATCCCTCCAATTCGTCTAAGTCTGAACCCATGCACAAAATCAAACGGTAATCTACTGTTCGACATCGTACGTTAACTTATGCAGTTCACTGCAGACAGGTGAACTGCAGATTTTACACCACAGACACATATGTTGCAACTATTGACGCCGCCTCAGAAATAATGGTTAGATAAGAATTGCTGGGTTTGAAATTAAATGAACTGGTCTCCAGTTACGTAGGATGGCCTACAAGTCCAACACACCCGTTACCACAGGACTATTTCCCGATCCCGTATGGGTGCCGGCATTTAAGAGGAATGTTAGCTCATGTCTGCCAACTTGTGTAACATGAGCCGTTTCACGTCAATATGTGCAAAGGTTTATCGCATATCATTGGAAGCCTCAGTCACGACCTAAATCAACTCGCTTCTTAGGATTTACATGTAAACATCAAAGATGGGTTCCATTGTAATTTGCTTTGCCTATCATTAACTTCTTAGGCCTCTACGAACAGAGGCCCCACCTCTTTCGACCGTTTTCAGAACCAAGTTGTGTTATTCTGGCATATTGCCTGGTCTGACGTGACTGATTTGGTAGTTTGCGGTCGTATTTCATGATAGATTTTATGGTTGATCCTTCATTTTTGTTTAAATCTGCAGAAATCTCAACGTCTCTTGGAAGGTCCAGTTCCTTCAAAGGCGTTCGTTCGCGCGCTGTAGCCGAAATCGAGTTTTCTTTGAAATAGAACTAGAAATCTACCATGTGGAATCTGCTGGGGGGTCGTTATTGTCACACGTGTACTGTCGAGTAATTATAAAGCCCGAAGCCACGAGATGCCTTATTTTTGTGTAATTTCGCGATGCCAGGTGCACAGCAGTTAGATCGGGCAACCATCGTAAACCATCGAAAAGATGAACGCCGGTTATTCCTGTCAGCCACACTCCTCTGGAAGTTGTGCATATTGATACATATTGTTGTGGACTTACAAATGTCAAAATTGTCATTATTGGCAAGCCAGATACATAAAGTGGTCTCAACCAACCTGACTACTCCTTTAGGTTACAGATCGCTTCTAAGAGTGTTACCTAGAGCTGTTCTCTGAAGTCTGCCCGTTTCCCGAGGGTTTGTCAGTCCACCGACTATTTTCCGAGAAATGCCACCCCGAGGATACTGAATGTCATTAATTGTAACTCGGTAGTCGCGGAATTTTTCACAATTGCCGAGGAAATTTTGGTGTCGAGGCCCGCCCTAGCTCCGGCCATCTCAGATTACGCTCGTCCTCCTCAATTATTGTGCACTTCTTGTTGCCGTGCTACGCGCCATACTTCTTACCTCTCTGACTGCCAAGCTGATTTGCCGTTTGTTCCTTTGACCTGTTTTATTTTTTTGCGCAGGAAGAGCGGACTGTCTTAGAGTCAATATATACCCCGGAAGAACTCTCCATCAGTTCCGACTACACCTTCACTTTCCACGTTGGTTATCCCTGTATATGCCTGACAATTGTGGTTAGTTAAATGATCCCGGCTCATCTGAATCATTTGTTGTCAACATTACTTGGCCAAAAGGATACCCCTTTGAGCCCCCGTCGATTGACCTTGACGCGTTCTGCAATCGGCACCTTCCCCAAACGCTTAAGGAAAAGATAATTAACGACCTCAATGCTTTAGCCAAACTCAACACTGGGGAACCCTTAACCTTTACCCTAATCGAACATCTTCGTGAAAACGCCGAAAGTTACTTTCAAGAAATAAGGGAAGCAAGAGCTGTATCATGTGCCAAAATAAATTCGGAACCAGTAAGTGATTATTTACTGGCTTTAGCAAAATTCCAGACCAAAGAAAAGACCTCGAAAGGGCCAGCCCTGTCGAAATCTCAGAAACGAAGACAACTTAATCGCCTTGACGTATCTGGACAACTTCCACGAGGATGGAATTGGGTTGACGTTGTCAAACATCTGCGCCAGACCGGCTCACGAGAGGTGGAAAATGCGTGACTTCTGCAACACTTTGTCAAAATGGCCCATGGAGTTTCCTACTAACCGTCGAATTCCCATATTGGTTTACTATTCCTGTTATGTCATTCCTGATTTGAGTAAACGTTCTGAAGCCGTAGGCAACTGTTCCCCTATTATTCCTTTAGTCATTATTTGTCGAATTCGAACATCGTTTTGCTGAATTTTTGCTGTTCTCAGTCAGACCAAACTGATAGTGGGAAACGACTTATTTCGATTTCCTTCAGCATCAGAGTGTAGTAGAAAGCCCATTTCGTTCAAGGAGACGCGGTAAGCAGGCTGGAACCACTTTTATTTGCCTGACGGCTGTAACGCGATTCTGGAGGCGGTTCCTAACAAATCCGTTTTGCTTTCGATGGTTCCGGACTGTTCGTTGTTCTCATTCCATTTTAATCTTTATTGGAAGCGAAGGGTAGGCGTAAGCCTTTGAACTCCTCCCCTGCTAAAATTGGAGGAAAATGGAGGAAAAGGACTCCCGCATACAACACTCCGGGGTTGCTAGTCGAGATCACTTTTCGATTGTTGTTGGTCACACGCAGATAGCGCTCACCGATTTATCTTGCTTGGAGAGTGGACTACGGGCGAAGACGTCTTGAATTGGGGCTCTAGTTTAAAGCTTTCATAGATATACGCGTAGCAGTGAATAATTGAAAAGTGTAGGCAAAAGCGTCATTACAGAAAGTAACCGAACCTGAGAGTTCGACCGTCGCAACGACGATGCTCATCCTGTGTCACACAGCATGATGCACACAGGGACTTGACTTGCGCGTGAGTCAGTTTACAGCAATAGTAGCCTTACGCTGCATCTGCCATACTCTCCCCCCCCCTTCGCCCCCCTCAGCCTGGTGTCAAGACACAATCAAGAAGACCGAAGTCTGGGTCGGGCGCGCTGGCTGAGCAAGCTAAGCAGACCGTCTGTGTCCTACCTACGCCCTTATCGCGCACAATAGATCAGCCTTTCACAGAAACAAAGAGGGGAGGGTTTGGATTCCAACGGAGTGGGAGTGCCATAGAGGCCACATTAAGGAGCCATTTCAGCCCGAATCTGTTTAGGGAGGACCGAGTTATTTTGTCAGCTGACAGCTTTCCAATGCACTGCCTTTAACAGAATAGATTAAAAGCGTGTCGGACTGTATTGAGTTAGCAATGGACACTAAACCGTGGGAATGGGTCTGCCAGGATCGACCTCACTCCTGTCCCATGGAGTAGCCCGCTCTCCGGATCCATCACCCATCTGATGTGGAAATTGTGAGCAGCTGGCTGGGTGAATGTAGTCTTGCACCTAGGCGTATCATCACCCCCTTGTGTGTTATTTACTATAGATGTACACAGGTAACACGTGCCGTACTCTGATCTGACCCCGTGTTGGTCGAGCACATCTGCGTGGCACGTTTTTGGCGGCACAATCGAACCTGACAAGGGTTGCTCTGACTGACTGTAGTAAGCACTTACTAAAATGTGGATGTGGTGTTGACGGAAGTAAGAGGGACTGGAGTGTGCATCCCTGGCCAGTTTTCTATCACCGGAGATGTCTATTACAACTAGAGGTGTAAATTGCACACGAACCTTTGGTGAAGTAAACCGTAAGAATAAAAGGACAAATTCTAGAAAATAAAGACATTGGATTTGGAGCCATCTGATATTACCAAGAGCGAGACTGGTAGGGGAGCGATATAGCTTTCCACCTACGAAATTAACAGAACATAACCCCAGAGTCCAAGGGATTGCCATCGCTCCGCGTGGAAATTTGGCCCGTGACCGCTTGTTGATTACTGAGATGTGCGGGGCCTACAGGCGCAACTTTCGCACATTAGATCTCTCTGATGGCCTAGCTTTAACCGAGCCTTATGGTTAAGGAAGTTGGCTGAGAGCTTGCGGGTCGTGTTCCGTAGTTGCGAATCACCCCTTCATGCGATTGAGCGCTACTGGAAACTTCGTTGGTAGCGGGGTGGCCGCAAATGACCACCAACTGGATACTCCATACTTTTCCCACCCAGCTTTCGCTGAACACAGTTTAAATCCCAGCACCTCATTGGTTCGCAGTTGAGCTATTCCGTCGGACTTCTGTGCTATTCTCTGTCGTCTGGCGAGAATTTCTGTCTTTGTTCTCATAAGGCCGGACTAAAGCAGTTTAGAAGTCGCCCGGGTGGCGTGAGATGCAAAACTGCTTTAAGGACCCTGATATTGTCATGTGACACCACTTGTAAATTGACCGCTTGGCACTGCTGCCGCCGACCGCAGTGAGATCTCAGTCGTCTCTAGTCGAAAGTGGTTTGTGCCAATGAAGCATACCCCCACTCACCCAAATGTCCTCTTCGGAGGTGTCAAATCAGGGAGCATGAATAAGGTATTTATACAAAGGGACCTTTTTTATGACCTACTCGGAGGCCTTGTGAAAAGACTGACTACCGAGTTCAGGTTTTAGATTTTTAATGATTCCTTTTGGTCGGGCGATCTTCTGACTCAACGGGCATGATATACAGCTAAGTAACAGTCCATTATAGCCCAAAATTGCAGCGAATTCATGAAATAAGAGGGACTGTGGCAGGCATCCAGGTTACTCATGACTGCAATCTCAAACGGAGTGCAGTGGATCCGGGACTCGGTAATTCAGTGTTTGATGTTAATCAACTGGCCTCGGCTTAATTTGCGCGTTTATCTAAACGCGGTTGACAACGAACGGCAAACAGGCCAGAAATGACCATTCTCCGCTATTGAGTTTGCCTGGAAACCTAGGGATTACTGATTGCCTGTCGCTGTGCCAACACGCGCAAGGACTAGCCTGGAGCTTGAAGACCGACCGGGACGTGTGTATTACTTCTGCAGTCAGGCTACCGGCACAAAAGGGTGCCCACTGTGACGGGACCTATCCGTTAGTCTATCTGTAAGATACCGGCCGCGTCCTCAAATGGCGGATAGTGGAATAGTCTTCAGCGAAAGTTAGCTGCTAAAAAACAACTACAATGCCATTAAGCGCTGCGGTAAAAACGCCCCCAAGTCTCGGTCATATTTTGGCATGGGAAATATTGCAAAACGATTATACCATTCAGACTCTTCACAGCTAATGGCTATCCCAGCCATTTTACCGGGAAAAGCAGACACCGAGCGCACAGACGACAGTCGAGGAAACAACAACAGAAAGGAAGGATATGGTGTTTAGGACACTCGTCAACGGCGGTCAGGTGGGACCTCCAGAAGCACAAAAAAATTGGAAAAGAGCGGCAGGAAAGACTACCGGGAAAGGTCGCCGGAATGCGAAAGCCAAGGTACCAGATGCGCCGGGACAGCAAATCGCAAGCACAAAATGAAATTAATAAAGGTACACCGGCGAAAGAAAAACATAATATGTGGCAGCTAATGATTACAGCAAACAGTCTCCAAACGGCATGCACATTTTATGAATCCAGCTTAGAGGGGATGCCAGCAAGCGCAACGACCCAGGGTGGAAGTAACTACCCTCACGAATCCCCATATATATGGAGTTGAAGCCCCGGTCAGGGAACCCCCAGCATCGGAGAAGTCAGTGGACAGAAACACGGTAGATCGGTCGCAGCGCATGATCATCTATGGGCTTTTTATGGATGCAAAACAGGTTAGTTGGAAATAGGACGTGTACTGATTACGAGAGACAGTACAAGTGAGGAGACTTGTGGAAACGGCTGGGTATATGGCAGGGGGGAATGTCATAGGCTGGTGGGTAGCCAATTAGCACAAAGAAGGTATGAACAGTGGTACATGACCTTGACTGTTCGCTTGTCAAACGCATCTGGCATGACATCCTGGCAGCCCGGGCAGCATACGCTGCACTCATGTAACATCAAAATCGGTGACAATAGGATCCAAGGGATCTACAAAGCCAGTCAGGTCTTCGGCCGGCCGCAGGACTTCAGCTGGAGCAGCGGCGGACTCCGACTGAAAACGAAGTTCAAAATGCTAGGGACGGCAGTCTTAACAACGCTTCCATACGGAGTGAAGGCACGGATGGCCTACCACAGTTGAACCAGGAAGCAACCAATCCCATCTCAGCTCTCCTTGGAGAATATTAAATTGGAGGCGACACGGAAGGCTTGGATGGTACCGGAATCCTCAGCACACACCATTCTTAGGTATCTATGTACATCTTCCTGGTCGGTCACTTGCGAATCCATCGCACAGAGACTGGCGAACCAGTGCCTGGAGCACCCACCTATACCCACCAAGCTCGTCTCAACTGCCCACACTGTCCTCGCACTTTCAGACATCGCACGAGCCTATTCGGCCACATGCGCATCCACGACGACCTGCGGTAGACAACCGCCGGCCACACCACACATTCACTCACTCCCTACCTCCTCCACCACCCCCATCACCCCACCAGAAGTCAACACTCACACACCTCATGCACCCAACTGCCACCTCCCACGCAAGTGAGAAGTCCGCATCTCGACTCGGTCCCCATGCGGCTTCGGCTGCACGGGTGACTTGAGTCCGAGACTATCCCGACACGTCAAGCGTCGTGGATAGGAAGGTTGCTGATTGACGCCCGCTCTCGGTTCACGCAGTTCGTCGCGTTGTGTGTGTGCGTTGTGTGGAGTAGCGGACTGGTGGGCTGGGCAGCGGGCTGAAACAGCACCTTCCACGGCCCTCTCACGCAAGTGAGAGACAAGCCGCTCAACCCCCGTTGTGTGAAATCCTGGTGTTTGTGTGTATGGGGGGCCAGGTCGTGCTGTGACGCACG